GCCACCTTCACCCCTCCCCCCAAAACCCCCCCCCAAAAACCCCCCCCCGGGCCCCCCCCCCCCCCCCAACGGTTGCCGGCCCCAAAACGGGGCCCCCCCCCCCCCCCCGCCCCCTTAACTAATTGAAACATTTTTACTTGTGGATGAGCCTGTATGAGAAAAAGAAGTGCATGAAAAAATTACACGTGCATTAATGTGAAGTGCTACCTTTTATAGTAAAATTCGTTCTAGACATTCTGACGCGTGTTCACAAGTGAAACTTTTTTACGGAAATATTAACGCGAAAAATCAACGCGCAGCCACTACACGCTTCTCGAGATTTATTAGCGGCCACGCGGCAGAAACGTCACATATATGTTTTCGTGAACTGTTCACGTCTAGTCAGAGGCGGATAACTCTTTCACACGTGGTCACATATCTTTTCACTTGTGACCACGTGCGAAACATGTAATGGAAAAAATTTTCGTGCACAGTTCACGACTGGTCACAAGCGGATAATTCTTTCACGCGTACTAACACACCATTTAACGATGTTCATCTGCGCTCACATTTCGTTACACGACGTTCTCGGTTGTACATGTCTACTAAAACTCCCCCATGGGTGAAGCTTCGCAGTTTTTTCTCTATATATTTTTATTTTTACAGTATATATAAAAATATGTGATATATTTTTCGTAGAGAATGTACTAGAATTTGAAAAAAAAATTGAAGGCCCTTGAGTCAAGGGGTCTAAAGGAAAAGAGAAAACTTGACAATATTTATGCCGCTATTTCTTCTAGGTACTCGTTAGCCAACAAAGTTTTCTCACCATAGAATTAAGGTCAACTAGCGTGTGCTACATCTGTTTAGCAGTAAATAATCGAGTATTAATCTTGTTCAGATATTTATTTTTTAACATCTTGGTTTTCTTTTTTGATGCGTGTGTATCTTTGAAAAATCGTTCAGTATAATATAAAAACAAAAATGGTAGTGATTGAATAAACCCACAAAAAAAAAACGCGAACAACATTAATAAAAAAAACTAAACACACACACATATCATCACCAATTTTTTTGTGTTTCGAAGACAAAACCCTGACATGATAAAATTTTTTAGTTACAGAAAAAAATATATAACGTGGAACAAAAGAACCTGGCTATTTCAATTAATTTCTTTCTTTTAATTAGACGCGTTTCAGTATCAACACAAAGAGAAAATATTCAATAACGGCAAGGTTGATTCTTCCGTGTCACTTCAAAGGTGTTAAACGTAGTTATTTTTTTTTTCCTTCAAAATACTGTAAAAATAAAGTGTCGAAAACAACACAAACAACTTTAAACCGCTATAATAGACAGAAAAAAAACTCGTTCGACACACAGACAAAAATATAAAAAAGAGCGAAGAGAAGAGGAAACAAGATAAATAAATAATAGAAAACATATGATGCAGTGTGCAATAGAGACCTTTCACACAAAAACAAATGTTTCGTAGACGGTGGGCACGCACATTTTTTTTGTTCAACAAAAAAAGAATATTAGTAAAGACAGCACTTGAGGACTTGTTTGTGTTTTTTGGACCCGAGTATACTAAAAAATTACCTTTTATTTTGTGAACAGAAGAATAATAACAAAAAGAAAAAAAACAAACAAATGCTGAATTGTCATTTTATTTTTCTGGTTTAACAACATATTTTTTCTAACTCTAAATTCTAAGTGTGTGTGTGTTTGACGGACTAAAACACATAACCAAGCAACCAAAAATAAGCACATAGAAGAAGAATGTATAGCTTAACAAGAGCAACAACAACGAAAAGAAAAAATAAACAATAAGAATTAACAACAATAACAATACGAAAAAGAGGAAAAGGAGAGCTTTATTTTTTGGGACACATATTCTGTTTCATGTTGAATTCACTGTTATCTTTCTTTTATTAATTTTCGACTTTATGTATCTTTTATTTTAGTTCCATCGGGATTATTGATTTCATCATCAATAATTTTCGATTGAGATGGAGGGTCTTCGATCGCGACGGCAATTGATTTAGATGATGTCGTTTGATTTGTAGATGATGGCATCTGAATATCACTAACATTTTCTTCTTCCTGATTGTCATCTCCAGTAGATTCTATTTGTTGGCTTTCCGCTTTATTGTCGGTTGTTGAAACATTTGATATTTCATCAAAATGATCATTTGAACTATCAATGCTTGCCGTACTTGTGCTTCTACCATGACTAGAACTAGCACTACTTGTAGTCCTCGTTCGTTTTGGAGTTGTCGGTTCACTTGTTGTTGTTGTCGTTGTATTTTCAATACCTGACTCTGTATCAGTTACTTGTTGTTTAATATCATCATCTTTGCTTTCTTCATTATAATCGAGTGGTGTAGTATTTTCGTCTTGTTTTGACTGAAAATTATTAGTTTGATCTTCAACGTTTGTAAACGACGATTGTTCAGTATTAGCACCATTTATATTTTCGTCTAATTGTTTGTCTAGTTGCTCTTGCTGTTGTACAGAATTATTATTCTGCTTTGATTTAGCTAACTTATTATAATATCCGTTGTTAGAAGATCGTACTGTTCGTGGTGGAGCACAGACAATCAAATTGCCAGTAGAATTAAACGGAAATGGCGGAGCTTCGGGCATAATTACTGTATTAGGCGATGATGAAGTGTAATTAATTGTTCCTAAAATGAAAGGGAAAATAATCTTCGCAAAAAGGCAAGAATAAAAAACAACTTTATACCATCATTGGGATAAGTTGGTCGACAGTAAAGAGAAGTCGCCTGAATAAGTCGATTAACTGCATCCGGATGAAGTGTTGTCATTTGATTTGCGATTAAATGCTGCTGAAAAGATAAAAATAATATTGAACCAACATAGTCACGAGAGATAGTAAAAATGATTCATCGTACATTGAACTAGCAGATCTTACAAAGAAATGAAATAACTTACTAATTGATCTCTTGGAATCAATTTTAGATCATTAAATGATACTTGTTCGTAATTATTATAATCTTTGAATAATACTAAACAAGAAGTTGGTTGTATTTCTACAATATTTGCATAATAGAACTAAAACAACATTAATAAAACAACTCATTACTCCATTTTTCGTCAGATATGTTCGTTTCACTCACTTGTCCATCGTCCTTCCATCGAGCCATACAAAAATCTCCAATTTGCCATGCTCGAGAATTCTATAACAGAAGAACCAAAAACTATATAGTTTTCAATATAAAAATAAAACTCATACTGAATTTGAATCTCGTCGTTTTTCGTTATTATTTGTTTTAAAATCTTGTTGATTTAAAGCTGCATCATGAATTTTATTGTCAAATTGTTGTGGTTGTTGTTGCTGATGTTGTGGTTGTCTTTCATCGGTAGATGATGATGGTTGATCTGGATTAGCAACCGTATCATTATTATTGTAATTTGCTTTTGTATTAATGCTGTTGATTGCGTTTGTCACCCCATTTGAAGAATTACTATTTGATTGTGTTTGAACATTGTAATAAGCACCATTATTTGGATCATTTGAATTTGATAAAGGGACACTATTAGCAGATACCATTTCAGCGGTCCACATCGATGGATGAAGACCAGTTGGATAAATAGCTTCTTTAGGAATACTGTAGCAATATGCAAATTGATCATTCGATGTACAATTATATGGCACTTGTTGATAAGCACCAGTCTGTGTTACAGCTGCAGCAGCAAATGAATAAGCGGCAGAATTCATTGTCTATAAAGTACAAAAAGTTTAAAGTGTTTGTTTGAAATGGAAGCGTGAAGTCTTAGTTATAGATTAAATGAAACATGTTAGAGCTACTTTGCGCTATTACTGAAAAAGAAGAAGGATAGATACACAACAAAATTTTACTGCCAAAAATTTATTTCCTTCAATAACTGGTGTCTCGTAATGATTCTTCTTTTCCACACATACCGTATTAGGAAAGTAAAAATTATTTGCTATTGAGCTGGCGGAAGGTACGGTTTGTCCATTTCCTCCACTGATCATAACGGTATTGTGAGGATACGACAGTTGATTCGATGATCCTATTTGATTACGGTAGGGTCGACGTGTATTGCCACTATTTCGATGACTGTCAGTGTCACCATTATCATATGAGGACGGCGCACCTTCTCCAGCTGTATCGTACGAGGAATCATCATAATAACGATTCGTATTTCGACGACTTCGTTCTTCTTGTACTCGCTGTAATCTAAATACCAAAGAAACATAACGCTAGTAAGAATCTTCGGTACTTCTTAAAATTATCTTAGTAAGATCTTAATTGAGATCTGAAGAGTTGATGACTCTATTTCCATTCACTCTTTTGTTTTGTTCTCATACATGTATATAATCAACAACGTTAGCATAACTGGAGTTTCCCATTGTTATTTTTCTTTCAGACTTTGCTCGCACTTACACTCTCTCGAAAGTGTTCAACAACTTTTCAGAAAATATATAGTGTAGTCAAGGTCCAAAATCAGACTCCCAAAAATATGAAATTTCTTTTCATTCTTCTATCACAACAGTGTAGGCTAGATATTCAAACACTGTTAGTCAATGGTAAATTAATGTTATTAAAAAACGTAACAGTTGTTACTGTGAAGATACTAACAGATTATCATCCAATCTTAACAAAATCTTATGAAATCTTAGAAGTTTCGTGTCCCATGATCTTAGTAAGATTTCTCCAGTATTTTAGACAAATGTGTTACTACGATTTTGATAAGATTATTCTAAGATTTCAGTAAGGTTCAAGTGACTTTCTCACTAGGGAATGACCATCACTTCATAACTTTTCATTCTATTGCTATTGAACACTTGTTCGTTTCTTAACCATTCCGGAATGACTCAGTAGCAATTACAAGTAACTGGCATAGTTTAATAAGAGAATGAGTTTATTATCTTTATCCCGTTCTCAGTATCTAGCACTGAGGTTATCTAGATAGTTACAAAGAGACTTATGCACATCGTAAACACGTTCTTTTCTCACCGGGGTGGTAATGGATTTCTTCTTTCCCGATATATTTGCTGTTGTTGAAAATCATGTGTATCTGTTCGATTATTTTGTTGTTGTTGTGTACGCGGATAATTAGATGATGTTGTATCATAATTATTTCTATAAGGCTTTTCACGTGAGTTTATTTGTCTACTCTCAGTCGTTGATGAATCTGTTGCTGGTGTTTTTTGTCCTGTTTGTGGTATGTTATTATTATGCTGCGACGATGAAGATGAAGAAGAATATCGATTATTGCGATAACTGTTACCATATGCTTTATTGGAATGAAATGATGGTTTTGTACTTGGATAATTATCACGTTTAGAATCTGTATCCTGTTGAGATGTTGAAGCTTGTTGCTTACTATTTACTAATTTTGAAAAAAAAAGCAGTTTTTTGAACAAAAGTAATTGAAAAAGAACGAGTAACACTTACATGGTTCATCCGACATATTCAAACCTTGAAATTTAGGTCCAACAAAACTAAATAAACTTAACGGTAATGGCTTTTTCATATAATTATGTTCGTCATCATCTTGATATCGTCCTAAAATATAACAAAAAATGTTAATTTTTAAAGATCCATATTCATTTAAAATAAAACTTACGTCTTGCATCAAATGTTCTATAACCTTCACCACCCCGCCTTGAACCATCTCCCTTTAAACAAATACAAACAATTTAATATATAATACTCACTTCTAAATCATACACTTTAAAGAGTTAAGATCTTCTTTAGCTTACTTCCACTTTCACTCTCTTAATTATCTTATCGATATCAATTTCCTCTATATATAACTTTGTTTTCTATATATATAAATAAAAACCATTAAAAGAATCTTTTCTTAACAGATTACTTTTTTTTAAGCTCAAAACTTGTTTATATTTTGTAACTTCTATTTTATAAAATATTATTTATTAACCACATCAATGAAAAATATTATCACGGTCATATATCTCAATAAAATACAAAATATATGATTACATTTTAATTTGGACAATTGATGTTCGTCATATGCAACTAAGCCATGGAGAAAGAAAATAATAGACGGACGAAACAAGGTCGTACACATATTTTTATGTGTAATAAGCGCTAGTTGTATTTTGCCTCAATCATATCAATAATAGTGTTTTCAAAAATATAGAAGGCCTGTAGATGTTAATAATTGAGTTACGAGTACTTCAGATCTTTGGCTATAGTCCAACAACAAAAAAAGTTTCCAAAAGTTTTGTTTCTCTTTTTTTTGTTTTAGATCGAAAATAATAACAAATTATAGACAATTTTTGTGTAATGTACTAAACGAATAACTACTACGATTCATTTGTCAAAAAATATCGATCAATCTACCTGAATAAAAATATAGAGAACAATGAAATTATTTCTTTTTTCTTTTCTTCTTTACTTTCTATAAGACTAGACTTGGCCAGTCAAAGAAAGGAAGGATGAACAGCAAAGAGATGTTAGTTAGTAGAAATAAACTGGGTCAGAAATGATCAATAAAGTAATTGAATAGAGAGCTGCTTTTGCCGTCATCCGTCCCATGCTCTAGATGGAGAGTCACTTTAGAGGCACAGAGTGTGTAATAAAATCAGTGCAAAATATTTAGAAAATTGATTTCAGGAACATCCTCACTCCTGTTTTGTTTTCACATCATTCAGTTTTATTCGTTATTTTTCATAAAATATTATATATCATATTTCTGCTCAATCTTTATTACAAGTTTTAATAATTTTTTGAATAAACATGATTCCTAGACAAGTAGGCATCAAATGACAAGAACACTTGTTATTATCTAATTCCAGTTTGGGTTAATAACTTCAATACTTCATCTTAAAACTAATGCTTGTTCATGTTGTTAACGTTACGCACTGATTTCTTTTGTTGACGTTAAAAACAGATTGTTAATAGTCTTACCTGTAACCTAACCTTCAAAACCATATTCTAAACTAAAAAACTTTAGGTTTGACTTACACAATTGTAACTAGCATTCGGAAAAAGAAAATAACTTTAGGTTTCGAAGGTTTAAACTCATACTAACTTTTAATAGGGAAAAACATTTTTGTAAAAACTTTTGCAAATTTTTCTAAACTCATAGTACGTCCTCAGGAATATTTGAAATGATAACGTTTTTGCAGCTTCTTATGCCTCATAAGCTGCAGGTCGGTGTTTTTAACTTGTAGATGTCTCGAATACTAGTATACATCACCTGGTTTTCACTTTCGAGCACTTTTGAACTAGTTTAAAAAATTTTGCAGTTTCTTTTATAGATAATACAACTCTATAAGAACCACTTAGACATAGTATGTCTATTATGATCTTCAAATTCCTGATCATTGCCCTAAAAGCTCCAATGCTGTTATCCGACTTCTCTCATAGAAGACGTTATTCTTATACACTATGTTTCGTTAAATCTCTTTTAAAAAATTAAAATATCAAACAAAAACGCAAAACGTAGAGTTAAATAAAAAAAAATTAATTAATTCTTGCTGCTTCTTTGAATTATCTATCTTCAGTTATCATTACACCCGAATCAGATAAAAAGTGCTCTTTGTTTAGTGTAGGAAACAATGAAAAAATTATTATTCATACTCGATAGTATGGCTTGGGTGTTGAATATGTTCTACTGCCATTAATCCAACGACAATTCTGATTTGATAATTGTAAAACATTTGATTTTATTGGTATAACATTAAACAGCGTCAGTTTTGAACCGGGAACAGTGTCGATGCTAAAAGAAAAAAACAACATGATCTAAAGTATTTGAGATAAAAACATAATTGATAGCTGAACATAGACCAAAACGCAGGCTTAATCAAGAGCTATTTGTTAAAATGTAGAACTTTTTTCATCCATAATACTAGCTCATTAATAAATAATTCTGCAGTGTAGATTAACAGCATCAGCGATCATTCGAAGCCAGAAGAATAGATAAACAACTTACGTTAAGCCAGATATTTGTTCTGTTGTTATTGCACGAAGTGTGGTGAATCCATCAGTAATAGTCAGTTCTAAAAGATTTTCAGTACCAACAGGCAATGATGACGAAGATTCATCATTAGCTTCTGTATTTAATTTCTTGTTATTTTCTATATCTTTCGATTCAATAATTTCAATATCTTCTATTTGTACTAAGGAAGTACCTTTGATCTTAAAAAACATTGTTGTTAGATTATTGTAAAAAGTTTAGATCTTAGTTACAACCTTGCCATGCAAAAATTCTTCTTGTCTTACCGTTATGGGTTTGTTATCGGTAATATCATCCGGCAAACATTTGAATGGCGTTTGCCTCAGATCGACCTAGAAAAAAGTGGACATTTTCGTCATCGTACATACTGTCTAATTTCTAAAATCCAAAAATCTTCTAAAGATCTTCAGAAAAAATTAAGTAGAAATTAGCATGCAGTTCTTTTCTTCCTAATTATAACTAGAAATGGCTCATGGAAGCCACACTTTTATGCGTCTAGAAACTTACTCTAACATATTCTTTGTAATATCTGTCATTATCTGAAGATGTTGTCCCTGGAGTAGACGTTGTCGTTGATGCTATTGGCTCATCTTTTAGCATGACTTTTTCGAATCAAGATTAAACGCTCAGATAATAATATAGTGTGTCGACGCACACCCACTCGATACCCAACTGATAAACAATATTTCTGATAGATGACCTAGAAGTAGCGCATATAATAACCTAGAAGATCAGAATACCGATTCGCCTACTTAAATGCTAAAATAACGAATGAAATAGAATAAAAATAGAGATTAATAGATATATGGAGAAAACAGACCGAATTATACTTGTTCGATCTAGAAGACAAATAGAGGAAAATGCTTTTACTATTGTAGGTGTTTAGTCTAACAAGACTTACTAGAAAATTAAATTTTTTTAAAAATAAAAATAATTCCTACTCATTTCAACATTCAAGTTTTATAAAAATTAGATAGAATCGACTCCAGTAGTTAGTATTTTAGATAAAAAATCAGTTTTGTCTGTGACTTCACAACAAGAAAAAATATTGACTGACTAAATATTGTGAGTTGATGTAAGAGGGACATTGTTGACGTCATGATGTGATTCATAACATTAACCACTTAGTTTACTAAGTCCACTAACGAACTAAGTGTAGAGGATAATATCAATCTGTTCAATTAGACTCAAGCTTTTTAGACTGACAATATAAATATAATCACGTTAAATCTCTCTCCGACACTAATCTTATCAGATGGAGGGCAACTACGATTACACTTTTTTTCTGTTTATTTTGAAAATAATTTTTCCTACAGAAAGAAAAAAAAGATGTATTTTTCCTCACTGGTATTATAGATAGAAACGATGACAAAACAATTCATCGTTAGCGACGTTCGCTCGATTGGCATTTCCTTTTAGCCAATTAATTAAAGGAATATGAGAAATTATAAAATACTTAGATTTCAACTTCAAATATTAAACGGGTGATTTTATAAGTCTATTCTTTCTGTGTCACAAGTATTCATGTCGTGAATATTTAAGTGCATAAGTGCGCTGCAGTTTTTATGAGTATTCTTTATGCGCATTAGTTTTCTGAGTTATAATTATTTTTCTGAACTCATAAAATTTTTAATTCAATCATATTAGCTTTTGATGAATCTTAAGGAGACAACTCATTCCGTGAATGAGTGAAGAGATCAGCTGCTGGATACTTACTCGGTGGATCGATCATTCGTATATTTACCAGCTAGGTGGAGAGGAAGGAAAAAATGAGAGAGAAAGAGAGGTTCAACCTGCACAGATAACCAAATATCAATTTTATTATGTAGAATTTATTTGAATTAATAGTGATACGACGTTTATTTTTCTGTCGAATTACTATCATTCAAGAGAATTTTATCTTAAAATAGATTCTTAACAGCTTATTGTACATTGTAGGTCGTTTTTAAGACTAATGATAGTGTTTTTCTTTCAGATATGTCTGAGATTCAAGCAGAAATCGAATTTATGCTTGAATTGCGTAAATTTATTAATATTGATTTGTTCGTACAAGGGTTCGTATATTTGTCGAACGAAACAGACTTATCATCTAACCTGTTTTCGATTTTTATTCTATACTAGATATTACCAGGTACGAACAGCTATCCGCTTTGCACCAAAAATACAATCAGCAACTAAAATCGAAATCAAATCCCCAATGCCCCCGATGGGTACGCTATTGTTGATTTTTTTTGGAGAGAAGAGAATAGAATTATCTAGAATAGTTTTTTTTTAAGACGATTCAAATGACTCAATTTATCCTGCCACAACATTGAATGAGTGGGGTATTAGTAAAACGTTTTTAATTATATTCAAGAATGAAGAAGTTATACTAGACGATCAAATAAATTTTAAGTTATCCGTTATCGTCGACGCACAAAATGTAAGATTGACTAGGCTTCTAGTATTTCTATTGATGGCATTTTATTCATAGATTATTGAGTGCTTCAATAAGTTTGAAATGCAACTGCTTGTCGAATTATATTTTATTGAGCGTGATTTTTCGTAAGTGAGGCATTTGTCTGTAGTAGAAAACAGCATTTTCTGTTGTTTTTTTCTGTTTTTAGACCGGATAAACTTTCAGTGATGCAACAATTGTGTAGTAGATGTTACAAATTACATTTTAATCCCCTTACTGGTCTGCATGTTCATGTTCCAATTATATTTGATTATTTTCATTTATCAGCTGTTTTAATGACCATACACGGTTCTTTACTATGTTTGATTCCACCATATGTATTTGATAGGTAATTAAACGGGCTGCTATGGGTTTGCTAAACGTTTCTTATCAATTCTTTCTCTTGTATTTTGCAGACCAAACGCACAACGATCGTCATTGTTCAGTTTTCTTTTTGGTCAAGATCTTTCGCAGGTACGACATAGTTGATAAACTGTTCTTTTTTGTCCTTACCATCTTTTTTCTTGTTTAGATTGTGAACGATAATGTTAATCCAGCATTGTTAGATCGAGCATACACATTGCATAATAATATTTGCGAAATACTTTTGTCTTCTTATGAAACATTACAAGATTTTTATGAAAAAATGCTTGAAAAACTTCCGGATAATGAACAGAAACCCTCACATGGTATGTATTCATCTTTTCATATATTCTCATAAAAGCTTATTTTGTTTGTTAAGTACATCAAAATTGCCAACAGAAACGAAATAATTTATGTGAGAAATTGAGGGTAAAATAAGTGCCACTGTTTTATCAAGATGAATAGTGGTTGTAAAAGTTTTTTGTTCGAAGGGTACAGAAGATGTACACACAATCGATAACTTGGCCCATGCTCATATAGCACAATGTTCAGCAGAAAATATTATGTTGTGGTGTCAATTTATTCAACTGTTTTCACTATCTGATTTACCAGCTCTTTCATTAGCGAAAGAATATCATTTTAAACGAGTAAGTCATAAAGAAATTGTTATAATTCATTGTATTTAATATCAAGCTTTATATGTTCAAATTCAAACATGTTTTTTATTTTTCATCTTTTTGCTTTGAGGGTTAAAGACTAGATGTTGATGGATCTGGTAAACGCAGAAGAGCAAAGAAGGAAATTGTTAAAAGTATTCGGTTCAAAGTTGCGTCTTGATTGGAGATTTGATTAACGCCAGGCTGTTTGAGGAATTTATTCTAATTTTAAGCATAATCGAGAATATTTATCTGAAGTTTTGTGAGAGAATAATTAGAAAAACATGTTTAGATTATGTAGGAAGTTTTGATATCGTTGTGAGTATAACTAAAAGACACGAACACTCCCAAATTAAAATCTGAGTTAGCCAATTGATGGAGTTGGTCGAGTTGAGTATAGCAACTCCTAACGAATACCCAAAAAAGGTTTTATAGTTTTGCTTTTAAGCATACATTTTCAATGAACACCCAAAAGAAAGGGTAAGAACACCCAAAAAAGTGTGCCACATTCATCTCCCGATTGTTCTGAGTCTACTGGTACCATTTTCAACCCGATTTTTTATTCGAGTTGAAAATGGTAATGGACTCAGAACAATTGAGAGATGAATGTGGCACACTTTTTTGGGTGTTCTTACCCTTTCTTTTGGGTGTTCATTGAAAATGTATGGTTAAAAAGCGAAACTGCAAAACCTTTTTTGGGTGTTTGTTAGGGGTTGCTCGACGAGCTCTGTCGATTGGCTAATTTGAGAGTGTTCATGGCTGTTCACGTCTTTTAGTAATATCCTATTGTTGGCGTTGTTTTTGTCGCTTCTGTTATCTCATTGTCGTTTTTTCTTTCCTTTCTTGTCTCGTTCTTTCTCAATTGTTGGGAAATTTACTAAAAAAAGAAATATGAAAGAAAGGAAAATAATTGGGTAATATAAACAGTACAAATATGAATGCTTTATAAAAGCCAAATCAATTCTGAAAAAGTGACGAAAGAGGTACACCTCTTTCCTTTTGAATGATGTGGGTATCGCTAATCCTCATGGCTAGCCAAGGTGTGATAGAATTTATTTATATTCTGTTTTCTGATGAATATCATCTTCTCTTTTTTTTTCTGCAGGCCAGACGGTTTTCCGAAGGTTTTTTTTTACGAGAAACATCTCGTCTTAATTTACTTACAAATGAGTAAGTTTCTTATCTCTGCGGATCTTATCACATAACTGATAGTGACCCAATACATTATTGTTGAATTCAGAAGTGATTCATTCAATGATTTACATGAAATAGTTCGTAATTCACCTTATTATTGTCGGTTGCCACCGTTACCAATTGAATGTGTTGAACTTGATGGTGTTCCAGATACATTGCCAATTATTATCGAAGAAATCTATTCTCCAATACTACAACAACAATCAGCAGTGAAGAATAATATGAATAAAAGTGTATCAACTGCCGTTCAAAATAACAGTAAGAGTGTGTTAAACGTTAGTTATATGTTGTACACTATAAAATATAAAAAGATTTTTCTTCTCAAACTGTTTACTTTTTTGTGGTGAGACATTTTTTTTTGAGAGAGCATGCTAGACCACGTGTTCAAGAACAAAAATGATTATAATTCATTTTATTTGTATTTTTTGCATATGTCATCCGTTGCTTATTTTACTATTCTTTTATCATTCACGCGACTTTTCTCTTAATATTCGAATTATCCACAGTTATGATATCTAATGACAGAGAAAGTAATATTTTCTGATTCAGCTTTAAAACATTTAACCACAACGTCTAGTCTTTTGCTTGTGAAACTTTCAATATTTTTTCTCTCTAGGAAGTTATACTTAGTTTCACCGCTCTACAAAGTAACGTCTCTTCGTTTGTATTATTAACTCCTATAAAGATCATACTAAAGAACTATCATTGTGACTGTTCTCTACATAGACAGAATGGCTTCAATATTTTTATTCATGTTTGTAGTCAGCTAACCGATAAAGATGTGAAGAAAAGCACAGTTTTACGCATTTCTCAATTGCATGAAACATCTCTCGTTTGCCAATAATCTTGATTTTGATCCCTTAAGCTAAAAGAAATTAGCCACAACAAAATCTTATTGCTGTTGTCAGGGATAAGTGCAGTCCTACATTTTTTTATTTTATAGTACAGAGAAATCAATTACGTCGTTTTTTTTTAAAGGTAAAGCTCGTCCAAATCTTGCATTGTGTTTAAGAGGTAACGCAGACGATACAATCACAACACCTCCAACGTCACCGTATTCTTCTTTGCCTCTCTCTTCTGCACGTACAGTAACAACTCCAAAAATAGTCAATACATCGTTCACCTCCTCACCACTTACAACAAATGTGGTGCCGTCATCATTTTCATCCAGTTCTACCCCAGATCGTCGTGCCGCTACGTTGACTCCCACACCCTCAGTGTCAACTCCATTGGTAAGACATGGTAGTACGGCAAAAGCATTGTTATCATTTCGTTCACAAACACCTACAACAAATCCAATTATTCCGTTTTCTGATGATCCGTCTATACAATTAACTGCTTATCGTAAAGTTGCTGATTCATCCCCACAACAAGAACAGCAACCACAAACATCATCACCATCATCAGTGTTGTCAACATATCAATCAGACTCTGATTTAAATCGTCGAACAAATTCAAAATTAAAAACACGTTTACATAAATATGCTAGCCGTTATTCATTGCCAAATGTACCATTTGAACGTACAACAAATGGAAATTTAACCCCTACAAGTGCATCGATAAATGACTCTCCTACACCCCGTTTTCTTCTATCAGCAGACGAAAATGATGTTAGTCAACAGAAACAAAATAATAATATTGATGATAACGTATTTGATCAAAGTGCAGCTGCTACATTCGGTGACAGTAGCTTTAAAAGTAAAGTTTTACAAGCATCATTTCGTGGAAAAATGAATACAATTAATCGTCAACGTTTCGGATCTGACAGCTCGACAACACCTATTCGACGACAACAGAATGGTCAAACATTACCTAACAACTCAAATCGAAAAAGCCGTCAATTATTTCTTTCAGCCACATACGAAAAACCCATAACAGATATCAACGATATAACGACAACAATGGAGAATGAAAATAATGATATTGTCCGACCAATTCCAAGTTCACTAGATTCTATGTTGAATTTAACATTAAGATTGGAACAATCGGCGTTAAACTCTGTTCGGGCAGCGTCAAGCAAAACTGATAATGACTATCATCGTCGACATACTGTATCAACACCAAATGATTTAAATCAATATCATGAAAATTATAGACGATCCGATGTACCGAATGATCCATTATTAATAAATGGTTTAACATCTGATGAAAATACTTTAAATCTTATGGAACAAGCACACGATGAAGTAATAAAAAAAAACAAAAAAAATCCACAACAACAATCGTCTAATGTAGCCACGATAGATGACAAAAATGGCAGATCCATTGTAACTACAGAGACACAACAAGAAAAAGAGAAAAGGATGTCGAAGCATCTTAATGTAGCAATAACCAATAATAATGGTAGATTAACAAGTGCATCACCAAATAGTCAAATCGAGTAAATCAGAGCCAGCTCAACGTTTCATTTAATTTTCATTTGCCTTTTCTTTAGATATTTTGTATTCAAACAAAAACTAAAAGATTCAATAGTGTCTCGCTTCAATGGTGTCTTGTATAGCGATTGTTCATCAATAGTATCGAATACACCATATTTTTATAGTGAACTGGTACCACTGGATGAAAATGGTGTTCATTTAATTATATGTGTGCATGGTTTAGATGGAAATTCCGGTGATTTACGTTTAATCAAAACATATCTTGAATTGTGTCTACCATCATCCAGATTAGATTTTCTTATGTCATCATCAAATCATAATACTACGTTTGATGATATTGATATAATGGTAGGAAATTTAATTAATGAAATCGATACACATATAGAACGTTTTGGAATTAAAGCACAACGAATAAGGTATTTCAAGTGTGAGAACAAAAACAGATAGATATTAATTATTATGCTTCTTTTTTTGCCAGTTTTGTCGGACATTCATTGGGTAATTTAGTGGTACGAGCTGCTGTTGCTAATCCCCGCTTTGAACGTTATCGTCCAATGTTATATACATATTTATCGCTATCAGGGCCACATTTAGGCACTTTATTTAATTCAAGTGGATTGGTTAATATGGGTAAGCTAGTGTAAGAGGTATATAAACGATAATTTTGTTTTATTTTCTTGTTCTTAAGGTATGTGGCTTATGCAAAAATGGAAAAAATCGTGTAGTTTATCACAAATGTCGTTTAAAGATCATGTAGATCCAAAACAAACATATTTGTATAAACTAAGCAAAAAACCATGTAGGTGGAAACAAATATAATTACTCTCTTCTTCTATGAAGAAAGATGCAATATATTTTTGTTCATTGTAGGTTTAGAATATTTTAAAAATATTCTGCTTATAGCATCGCCTCAAGATCGTTATGTACCATTTCATTCTGCTCGCATTGAAGTATGCAAAGCAGCGTTGAAAGACACAGTTTACGGTTAGTATTTGTTCACATTTGAAGCAAAGAATTGATATTAAACTAAATTACTGATCGAGAATATTATTTATTTGTTTATTTAAAAAATCGAAATTTTTTTCTTATTCTTTAGGATCGATTTACGTTGAAATGATATCAAATTTGTTAGAACCTATAATAAAAAATTCATCGATCAATTTTGTTCGTTATAATGCGTTTCACAATATACAATCTGGTACAAATAATTTAATTGGACGAGCTGCTCACATAGCTATTCTTGATTCAGAATTGTTTGTGGAAAAATTAGTTTTAGTTAGTGCAGCTAAATATTTCAAGTAGTAATAAAGAAACTTTCACTATGCGCACATATACATAGACATACACGTATCCATTATACATATTTTTTTCTCTAGAAGTAGCTGTTTTTGTTCAAAACATATTACACAATGCATTCCTTTTTCGAAAAGAAATGGGTCTAAATGCTTTTTTATGTCAAAATGCTCTTTCGTTACTTGCATTTTTGCATAAACAGTGACTACCATTTAATTTATTGTATAGCTAATTAGCTTAAAGTCAATTGATCTGATAGTGTAACACACTCTCTCTCTCTTTCTGCGTTTTGTTTCGTATTTCGTACAATCCTATTTCTTTTTTTCTTAATCTCTGTTCCGTGTTGTTGTTTTTTAATACGATAAAATCCGGTTGAGTACATGGTATTTTTCTTTTTTTTGGATGACATTTTGCTTTAACTACTCGCACGTTAAAATTTAGAAACAATCGTAATATAATTGTTGTTTTTAAAGAATGATAAAAATATTCTCCTGCAATGCTTTTTTTTTTTTTTTGATTGTAAATATTAATGCTCTTCCATCATAACATTTTCTTTTTATTTATTTTTCTTTACTCTCGCCTATGCTATGTTAGCTAGCGTATTTCATTTTCGGTTGTATTTCACTTCTTTTTTCAGATATGTATATAAAGAGAATTTTTTTTAATCTATCAATCTCTTTATCTTCTTTATGCATGTCTATTTAACAAAAAAATTTCAAACAACATTTTCTCTCTTTTTTCCCTAGTGGTATGCATGTTTTGGTTGTAGAATTGTGAAAAAAGTCGTTTGTGAAGTTAAAGTTTTCGTACTAAAAATAGAATGTATGCCGATGCGAATGATAAGACTGAGATACACTTTTAAAAAGTGTTTTACGGATCTCGTAGTAGAAAATTGGTAATAGGTCAAAAGACTCGTAATGTTGATGATGATGAAAAAGTGTTCTTCTTTTTTCGTTTCACTAACATTAATCCATTGATTTATTTTTTGTTGTAGATTTATCATTCACTTGTTATCTCTAAAATATTCAAATTACGAAATAAACGATGCCATTAGCTAAAGACTTATTGCATCCAACAATCGATGAGGAACGTCGAAAACACAAATTGAAACGTTTAGTTCAAAGTCCAAATTCATATTTTATGGATGTTAAATGTCCGGGTTGTTATAAAATAACAACAGGTATGTCAAACATCTAGAGAAACTTAATTATTTTATCGGTTTTATTTATTGTTTTTAGTATTCAGTCATGCACAAACTGTTGTTTTATGTGTTGGCTGTAATTACGTGTTATGTTCACCATCTGGAGGTAAAGCTCGTTTAACAGAAGGTTGTTCATTTCGAAAAAAACGTGATACACCAATGGCAAGGAAAGATGATACGGATCGTAATTAAATAATATCAACAACAACCAGTGACTATGAAGAAAAAACCAAAAAAGAAATAATAACCACTGATTATGCCTTGCAAATTTCATTTAATTAAACAACGAACGGATAATACCGTGTATGTGTATCGTGAATTGTTTTGTGTTGCTGTTTTTTATACAGAGAAAGATTAAACGGTATTTTCTTGTTATTTATTTTATATTGAGCTATAAAGCAAATGATTAGTTTTGAGTTTATTGAATGAATAAATTTGCAAGCATGGTCTAATAAATAGTTTAAAACAATATCGTTGAATGAAATACAAAGTGTACGGACTAAAATTTCGGTTAAAATAAGGGAGTAGGTAACAAATTCAATATGT